TATTGTTCTTTAGAGCAATTTGTTGAATTTGACTTAATTATTGTATTTTTGTGGTGATTAGTGTTGAAAATCCTAATAACATTATGATTCAGTGTAGTAGAAAAAAAGTCACAGGCTGTGTTAAAGCACCCCTCTGCCATCCTTTACCTGTTAAACCTCCCTTACATTATACTGTATAGTTTTATGAGGCACAGCGGAGGTTTTGGGGGGAGTGTAAGAAAGCGAATTTGTTGATAATGAAGCCCAGAAGAAACCAGGCACAATTTACTTCCTGGAGATTTAGTTCACTGAAGGCTAACACAATCTTCCCTGTTCTAGTGTAGCTATTGAATAATGATAGATACATTGCAAGATTCGGTTTTATGAGCCACTGTGAATTCGAGTTTTATGGGAGGAAGAAAAGCCAAATGAGGTTAATAATTTACATTTTGCTACTGAGTCCTGTCTCCCACTTCTCTCCAACTTTTATAAGTAAAGCCACTGTAGAACTTATCCTGCTCTATCTGTAATGTTGCAGATACAGCTCTGCTTCCTTGAATATTTCACAGTAGAACAAATCAGCATGGTGCAAAGCCAAACTAATGTCTAGCTAATGTCTCTCAGCCAAGACTTTTTTTCCCCAAAATAACAGTTTCAGCAGTATTGTCATTTCTGATTTACCGTCTCCCTCCCTCTCCTGCTATTCCTTACCAGTCCACTGCTGGCCTCTTTCAGTCACCCAGCCAGTCCTTAACTCCCTACTAACTGTTCGCCTTGTTTGCCCGATCGGTAATGTTTCTATTTAGATATTCTATCTATTCTATTTCAGATATTTGTAAGAGCAAACATTTTCTGTTCAGTTTCTGCTGTAGATAATAGTGTTATTGATTGCCCAGCAAGGATTTTAGTCATCAGACGTCTGGATCTTAAGTTATTAAGTTATAGTGTACTATATTTCTACCATTTCTGCCTGTTTACTCCTTCCAGTATGTGACCTTATAGCAGGGTGTTTTTAAAGAGTCCTACAACAGAAGAAAGCCCATTCAATATTCCTTATTCTGGTAGACAAAGGCGTATGTTTGGGCACAATTAAGCTAAAAATTACTAAATAAAAAATATATATGCCTGATACTTTCTATATTTCTATGGATAATATTTTATTTTTGTCTTATCTGATAGTACACAGTCTCATCTTCTGTTCAATTCTGGCATCTATATGATTTTGTAATATAATCGTTTTTAATCGTTTTTAAACCAAAAGACAAAGCTGGCTGAATCTTTGTCAGCATTCAGTATTGTCTGCATTCCTTTTATTACCCAATCTTTACCAATAAAGGAGGGCAGCCTGTTAAAAGCCTGAAACCCAGGGCACAAAGGTCTGCCCAGCCCTCACTGCAGCACTGGCTGCTGCTCATTGAGCTTACTTTACTTCTTTGAGCACAAGCTAATAACTGAAGGTTATTCAGACCAGCATAGCAACATTTCTATCAACTTAGGTCTTTTCTTATCTGGACTGTGGTGGCTGGACTGTCATAGGACACTGTCTACAGAGACTTTAGTGAGAAATTGAACCTGAAACAATGAAAGAGGGGGACATGTCCCCCCTTGTCCCCAGTGAAAATGATGCCCTTGCTGCTTAGATTAGGACTTTGTCCCGTCAGCATTTAAAACTGAATATTTGCCACTAAAATCTTTCATGTTGAGTTCCACTTTGGTGAACTCTAACACACAGATCTGCTCTGCTGACCAATAGCAAGCTGTCTTGACAGTACTGACCTTTGAGAACAGAGATCTTAATTTATTCTTCTTCTATCTTTCCACACACAGGGGCAGACATTGTAAACATTTGGTGCTTAGCCCAAACATCTGGCGATCCACGTGGGGAGATTTTTCTCCCCATTTACGACAGCTATATGCACTATTTTTCAAGCCTGTTAAAATGCCTAAAAAGCTGTACATCATTTTGGAATTATCCTGTAGAGCCTACATTCAATTGAGTATCAATTTAGTATTGATTTCCCTTGTAAAATTGGTGTTGGTCTCAAACATCCGTCAGAGAGACTGACTCAAAATTGAAGTTAAAAACCTAAATTGTGTGGGGCTTTTAGGAAACATTCATGGCTGGAGCCCCAGAAGCCACCCCTCTGCTCCGCCCCTGTCCATGCATTCACGCATAAAACTACTGGAATGAGGAGGCAGGGTTATTACATAGCAAAGACGCACTATTGAAAATAAGCATTACATGCACTTGTAATAAAGGTGCAAAACAGCGATAGTGAAGAAACTTCTTTGAATAACAGACTTTAGAACACTGTCTTAAAAACATGCTCACTCTACCTGTTTCTCTATGATTGGGTCCTAACTTCCACTACAAGAATTATTGAATCATGAAAAATACATTCTTATTCAATAAGTGAGCTGTGTGCTTGAAGTAACCTATAGCTATCAGCCTGCCAAGCTTTAATAAAATAGTGTAACTTGTTTCAACTGGGAAGTAGCAGTTTGGTGCTGGGGTTGAAGGTATCCAGCTGCAGCAGGAAATTATTGCAGTGACTGATGTAGTTTTCCTGGATCTGGATTTTCACTGTATTTACTCCTTTTATTTCCCCTGCAAGGTCCTGTCATTGTATCAGCTACAAATCAAAACATCGAGTATTGTTTGGCAGCCCTGGGCAGACTTACTCATCCACTTCACAGCTTCCCTCCTCCACAAAGAAACTCTAATTAATGGGGAAACTGATATTTCCTTACTGTTTCTATCGCTATCCGTCTCTGTCATTTTCTTGCTTCTTGTTTCTTTTTCCACTTTGCCTCACTGACTTTCCATTGCTTTTTTGTCTTTGTCACAGAACATCTTGCTGTCCATTTTCTGGAGAAACTTTTAAGAGCAGAGAGTTAGGGTTTTGGGCAAATGAAATTATCTTTTAGATTCTAAAGGCAATGAGCACACCAATAGTTGTACCAAGGCAACACTTAAAGATTCCCTCCAGACATGTATTAAGGCATATAAAAATAGTCTTCTTGGAACAATAATGTGTGTCTGATAAGATTTTTCCACAAAAAAGTATACTTTCCACATTAAAACCCTTAAAAAGTCATCTACTCCTTCTACCTCATTAAAACTTCTAAAGTTTTCCTGCTGGACACAAGATGTCTCCTACTTCACTTCAAAGTCCATTCTCAGTGGATGTGCACTGGTGGATCACACTGTACAAGTTGCATACTGGACCAGGACTGACTTCCAAACTATTTGTGATGTCCCAAATCCTGCTGGTAGGCCCCGCC